CCTGGATCTAGCAGCTTGCTTTCTCTCTCTCTCTCTGTCCCTCTCTGGTCAAATTAAAATTAATTAATTAATTAATTAATTAATTTAATATTTCTTTAAAAAATTAAGAGTAGCAAGATCAATACAGTATTATACTCATTTACATAGTACCCAGTGTTTTTGGTAATTATTAATGTATCAGACATGAATGTATGTTTTTATTAGTGAGGCTCTTTTATCAAAGACCTCGTCTAAAATACAGGCTGGCTTTTTATTATTCATGGTTAAATCAATGATAGCTATTTGGCAAAGGTTCAAAACTATCCCCATTAACTTGTTTTTAATAGCATTTGATTTATATGTGTACCCAAACCTCCACCATGTGCGTATATATGTGTTTACTAGTGCAGCTGTATGAATTTGTTCACAGTGTTATTGGTGGAAAATGAAGCATAAAACACGAAAAGTGCATACTTATTAAGGAGTTAAAATTATAGTCTTTAACTCCTTCTAGAATAGGGATATTATAATATGGTTTTGTTTTTCATCTCAGGTGAACAAAGTTCCTAGATAGTTTTGGTGATTGGTTCCTTACCTTTCTAATTAATTATAAAATTCTTCCTGTAATGGACATAAATGAATTAACACAGAGGTTTGCCAATGAATAGTTTGTTTGTTTGTTTTTTTCTTTTGGTATCATGCTGTCCTCTCAGCTACGAGACAGGTTGACTCCTCAGGACAATTTGAAGCCCTTGGATAGATCAGTGAGAGTACATTGTTTTTGTTTTTGTTTTTTTTTCTATATTTTTTTATAAACAAAGAGCATAACACTGTCTAATTTCATGACATAACTTGTTCAACAGGGAGTGTGTTGGCGTATATTTGTAATAGTTCTGTGGAATGCATACATTAATGATGTCTGAATTTTATTTTAGACAATCCATGGGCACAAGGGACCAATCACTGCAGTGGCCTTTGCTCCTGATGGGCGATATCTTGCTACCTACTCGAACACTGACAGCCATATTTCTTTCTGGCAGGTAAGAGTAATGCTACAGAGTCTTGAAGTATATGCCACATGTTACACTTATGGTAGGAAAAGCTTCCCATGGAGCCTACCTGCTGGCCCTCCTTCCTGTCCTTCCTCCCTTCTTACACCAAGTTTCACGTATTTATTGACAGCTGATTATGTGCCAGTCGCTAGCAAGTAGGGTGCTGAGAACACAATTAGCATCTGGAGAGAGGGGCATCTGCTCTCACAGAGTGTTCATCTGAAATAGACACAGGCAGATGAGCCTACAGCACAGACCGGGGACAGCGGAAAGTAAGGTTGTGGAAGACTTTCCAGAGGAAGCGACATCTGAGCTGAGATGTGAGTGATGCTGACAGGAACTGGCAGGGGAAGCCTTGCTAATTTACCAAGGTATACTTGCTAGGTCTGCGGGTCTGCAGCTTTTAACAGAGCATAAGGCATAGCACAAGAAGGTATTTTCTTAGAACTAATTTCATGTCCCCCTTTTGTATTTTATTGTCTCTTACTTTTTTTAATTGGCTATAGGATGTATACACTCGCTGGAGAGAGACAGAGACAGGGGATGGGGGGAGTGACAAAGCAACTCCCTGGGGGCATGGCCATGCTTCAGTCTCTTCTCCTCTTTTCTCCTTGGGATTTGGGACACACACACACATGTGCCAGCATGCTTTTTTTCAAGTCACTGGGTTCAGGACTTGCACTGTGCAGTTGGCCATGTGGAATCCGGCCATTTTAGCTACCACACCACTGGTTGGCCTTCATGCCTGTTTATATTATCTTATTTTTGTTTAAATTCTGAATTTCCTGCATACTGCTCTAATCCTCAAACTGTTCAAAACCATTTTTAAAATCTGAATATCTTCAACTATCTACTCATAAGAATAGCTATGTTTAATTCTGATTTAAATGAATATTAATTTTGAGCAGCTAATTTTTACCATAGAATGTGTTTCATCCACAATGTTTAATCTCCATCTCATCTTTTTTTAGTTACCTTATCCTGTTAGTCCTAATCATTACAAATATATATATATACATATATATATATTTTTTTAACCTAACCTCAAGAAAGTTAATTTAAAATTCTGTTGTCACCTATATTTTTCTAGAATGCAAGTATGTTTTATGAGTCTCAGTTTATTGCTTTGCTTTTGAAAGCTAAAAAAATAAAAGTTTAAACAGTCTTCGGCACAACTTGATGGTTTTAAAAAATCAATAGCTAATAAAATGTAAAACGGATACAATAAATTGCTTAATTAACAACATGCTATTAAAGCATGACGACTTTCAAATCTGTCACAGACTTTTCCTTCTTTTATCTAATTTAGTTTTTCAGTTTATTTTCTCATTATCCTGTCTTCTAGAATGTATCTGTGGCATTTTAATTAGCTCACATTAAACACTTTTCCTCAGAGATCTCGCCCAGTCTTCATTTTCCCAGTGGGTAACCACAGGTCTTGCATTTCCTACACTGAAATCCCACCATGAAACCATTTGGTGCCCATAAACTGGACTCTTGGGACAGTGGTCCTTGAAAAGTTTGCCTTCTTGCATTGTTTTCCGCTCATGTCCAATGCAATGCTTCTATTCTGCTGTCTGTACTTGGATACAAATTTCCCCTTATCCCGATTTTCTCGGCATCTTGGAGGAGTTTTGTTGGAGAATGACATTCGTTGGACATGCTGGGTGCTGGACTGGGCTTTGGCAGTATGGGATCAGAAAGTTCCTGGGTCCCTGCTTTCAAGGAGCTTGTCTTCTGGCCATGCTGTCCTTTGGAATAGACCAACACCTCTTTTTCTGTCTAACTTTTTTCTGCTCAGAAAATATCATATGTTACATAAAAGGAATACCTCAGAAATCAGTCAGTTTAAAACTTTTTCCCAGTATTTTACTGAGTTTTCCGAAGGGAATTTCCTAAGTGGTACATTTTCTACCTCCTATTGTCTAGATCTTAACAGTGCTATTTGGATATATTCATCCCTTCTCTGGCTAAGTTTCTATTTCTGTCCAAGTTTTTACCCATCTCATAAGCAAAATTATGGTTAGCACACAGGGTTTGAGATCATTCATTAGGTGATAACTTTTCAGGATACATTTTTTCACCTTCCAGTCCCTCTCTGCAGGGCCTACTGTGCTTCTGTGCCTCGCCCAGTACACTCAAACCTGTATACTGTATGTGTGGCTGTGTGCACACAGGGAGCCCGCAGCATGCTTCCGTGTCCGTAGGCTCATCTGCTCCGAAGGCTGTCCTGTGTCCTGTGCACATATCAGAGCACCAGAGCGACTCACTAGAACAACCCATGTCTTTCTTGGGTTATTCATTGGTCTTCTAAAAACGAGTGTCAGAAATTCAAAATGCAGCTCATATTCTGGATGCTTCAATTATATCCAGCTCAGTCTTGAAATTTAAATGGAAGGCACAGAAGCATTATTGCAATTCTATCAAGAAAATACAGCAAAACATCTCCCGAAAGTGTAATAGCTTGTGTTGGAATCAAGGGGAGTACGAAAAGCAGTGTGGGATCCACTGCTGCTCTCCCCAGAGGGGCTCTGCTGATTTATTTAGATACATGTTGTTTAGTTCTAATGATGTACAAGGATACTTTCATATTATTCCAGTAAGTGTACTGTAATATATTTTGAAAACTTAATGAAGTCTTATTAATACAGAGCCTTACTAAAGCTATCAGCTATTAAAATCTTTGCTGAGAAATGAGTGTTAATGAGAAATATTGGTTGGATAATTACTCAAGTGAGACTTAGTAAAAGGTTTGTGTGCAGCATTACTTACATTGAGAATAGCATTAAAGCATTTCCTGTTTTGATGAATTACATCAGTATGTGTCTGTATGTGTTCAGAATAGAATCTTCACACAATTGGTTTTCCAAAGCATCATTTTTGACAGAGAAGGAAAAAAAAGCCAAAGTTGCATTCTAGTTACATACTCACATATTGAATGATGTAATTTGGCAATCTTTCAAACCCCTATATTCTTTAACATCATATTCCTACAATTTGAATATTTCACTTCATTATATCCATTGACTTTTGAATAAGGGGAGTTTGGAGTTTGGTAATGAAATGCATTCATAATTCTCTTACTGAAAATTTACCACCGCCATCTAACAAATCATCTTTTTCAGAACTGCTAATAATGTTAGATGGATATTGGTTTCATTTATTTTTATTTACTCTAGAATGCTATTCAGCCATTCAAAAAGAATGATGTGACTCTGTAGTCATTAACATGAAAAGATTTCCCTCAACATTTTGTTGAATAAAAAAAGCAGATTGTGAAAGTGCTTTTTAGTATGAGCCTGTTTATATAAAAGTCCTTAAATATGCTCTCTTCATTTGTATACGTACGTGGAGGTCTGGAAATTTACCTGCCAAAATGTTAATAGTGATTTTCTCTGGGAAATGTGAGTTCAAGAGATTATTTTTTAAGTGTATTTCTTTATTCCATGAGAGAGAAAGAGAAGCACCCTTGGTAGGGTCTCCCTTCCATGCCTGCCTCTTTCCTACCACGAAGAACATGGGCACACATGCACATGCACCCAGTGTGCGTGTGTGGACCTGGGAACTGCACCGTGAGCTTCCACATAGCTTCCAGCACTGCAGAAGCCCATTGCGCTACTGCTGTGCCACCATGGCTGGATCTTTTGTCTCCTCATTTGTACTTCTCTTTATGATTGAATTTCCTACAATAAGTATTTATAATCTTTGTAATTGGGAGAAAACTTAATATTTTCCCACCTTATAACTCCACATCATTATCATTCATTTAGGTCTCCAATTGCTTTTACTTTAGCATAGTTTGTAACCAAAGCATCAGTCAAGAAGACATTAATATTGAATAACAAAATGGTTCATAATTGTAGTGGGAGTTCCTTGGCTAGGCCACCCTGACTTCTTAAGATTCACCCTAATTTGAAGAGGTCTTGAAAATAAAGGTCTGAGGGACAAGGAATTTTAGTAAACATGGTGGCTGTCATTGTTCCAGTTGTAGGTAGTAAACATGGTGGCTGTCATTGTTCCAGTTACTTAACTGTGGTAGTTATGTCTGTCAGAGAATCTCACATGGCTCTACTCTGAGACAGAGCTGTCATACTCTACCGAAAGTGTTTATCAAAATAGAAATCCTGGGACCAGCAGAGGTGTATGGTTATGTCACTGAACTCCCACATGGCCGACCGTGGTTCAAGTCCCAGACCCAATGGCTTGAAGATCACGTCAGGCACGTGTTCACCCATGCCCAAGATTGGAAGGAGAATGGACAAGAAGGGATTGTGGCATGGCTATCTCCCTGGGGGTGGGGTGTGATTTCTCACTTTCCCTCTCACTTTGTCTGTGTCTCTACCACCACTCCCCACAGCCAGCACACAAGCCCTAAGGCAAAAAGCTCAAAAAAAGGAATGTCTCAGGTTACCATGGGAATCCAGGTATAATAATGACCTTTTCTTAATCTTTCCATATTATAGAAATAAGATATTCCCTCATTCCCTTTTAATCCTCAATTAATTTGTATCAATGTCTAAATGTGAAGGAAGTAATTAAAAATAGATTAAGTATCTGAGCATATTATATCTCGCCTGCATTTTTTTTCTTTTTTTTTTTTTGAGAGGTTTTTGCTATAGGGCCACTATCTCTGCCGGACAGAGAGCTACAGAGAGATAGAAAGCAAGAAATCACCCCTACAGAGAGATAGAAAGCAAGAAATCACCCCCCAAGGGGGATGGCCATGCTACAATCCCTTCTCCTCCATTCTCCTCTTGGGATCTTGGGCACGCATACACACATGCCTGGCGTGAATTTAAGCCACTGGGTCCGGGACTTGAACCGCAGTCGACTATGTGGGAATCCAGCGACATAGCCATTACACTAACTGCTGGTTCCTCTCCTGCATTTTGAACCACCAGCAGAAATTGAGCTTTATACATATTTTCATTTAAAAAGAAAACATAAAGAATGAAAAATACTTTGAAGTTGTTTATCAACTGAGAAATCAGATTTTTTTAAAAACACAGTGTCTCCTTTCTTGCCAGTTTGTTTTAACCAGCAATTTTATGGATCATCTGGATCTGTTCTGTAGAGGACTAAGTTATCATATACTGTTAGGTTTTGTAGAAGTGAGAACTAGCAAATCAAACGTACCATTATTATTATTTATATGTAAACTACCCAGGAGCCTCCAGAAAGCAAATAAGGCATTAGTTTTTATCTTGTGTGCAGTTTTTGGAAAAAGGAGAGAAGGGGGCAAGGAAAGAGGCTTTTGGAAGGATGATAGTAGGGTCCCGCTTGGCTTCAACTGTGAACTGAACTTTACCAGAAAGAGTTAACAATAACCATACATTTGGTTTTAAAATGTGACCTCGTACACTAGTGATTTTTTTTCACCTCTGTGTTGTGTTCGGCACTATTATTAATGCAGGAAAATCAGTAACATTAGTCATCTTAAAAGGGTTATTACTCAAGATGATTTAAATTGTGAAAATGTCAGTGGAGCCTGCACGCACTCTGCTAGAGATGCCATGATTTACGCCCTCTGACACCATCTTGCTGCTGAGAAGAGCTCGAAAAAGGGATGGCTTGTGTTTTGCACTGATCCAAATGCAGGGCATGGTATCAGCAATAACACGTCTTAAATGTCCGAGGACTTGCCAGAGTTTCATGTATCAGCCATTTGTACGTGTTGGACCACAGTCTGCATGCTTCACGTAAATCCCTGGAATCTTCCACGTATCATTGGCGGTTTTACTGAAGAGAGAAATTGGAAATTAAAATTAGCACAAAGAAAAAAATGGTAATTTTTGAGGCTTCTGTCCTGATTTTCATTTTGCTTTCCACGTGATTTATACTAGCACAAATGGAGCATCTAGAAAACACTCGAAGTACTACTTGCACCCTAAAGGAGTCTTCAGACTCAGTTGCTCAGAAAAAATAGTTTACTTAGGTAACTGCCACTCAGTATTTAGCACTTTGACCTGAATGCATACCTGTTTATGATTCATAATCTCCATGTCATTTTTCACTTTTGTGAATGGATTAAGAAACCTCCACGTATTAGTCAAATTTAGAAAATCTGCCAAAAAGCAGAAATCACAACCGGTGAGCAGTATTGGCAGTAGAGCATTAAGAGTATATGCTCTTCAGCATGGTAGCAAAACGAAGAGCCACGGCTACAGCGTTGATGAAATTGATTCTTGATTTTCCCTTCAAAATAAGCAAGACCTTTCCAGATGCTGAATTTTTAAAAAGCAAGAGAAGGGCCAGCTGCAGTGGCACAGAGGTGACATGCTGCCCTATGGTGCTGGACCTATGCAGAGGGCCGGGGTTTGGTTCTTGAGCTAGTTGGACATGCGGGGTGCGCACCAGGGTGCCTGTGGTCCCGGTCAGCTGGGAAGGCTGTGGGTGCCTCTCTCTCTCTCTCTGCCTCTGTCTCAGTCTCTCATTCTCATGAAATGAATTAATTAGTATTTTTTTGAAGCAAGTGAAGAATGAAGGTGTGGGTTGGTGGGAATGGCGGGGTGGGGGCTGTATATATGACATTTTGAGCTTTGATCCAGCAACCTTTCATTCTATCTACTGACCAATTTTGCTTCATTTCCTTGAACTAGTTTTGAATCTCCAAACTTGTCTTCGTTAACTCATCCCTCAGGGAATCAGGTTAGCGTTGTCGTCAAAGAACATAAAGGTCTATAGTTTTAAATACTCATGATTTCCAAATATTGTCTGATTGAACCATTTTATTAACAGCTATAATTGAGCTCCTGTCCTAAAGATCGATGAGCTCCCCTGCTGTCAGGTCTACCCACCCTGTAAAATTCCTGTAGATTTACGCGTTTACTGAGCCCACGCCACAACAATTTCAGATATGCTGAAGGGGCCCTTTAGAGGTGAAGAATCAACTGTTAGATAAGCATTATGGAAAAGAAAGTGACCACAAATGTGTAGCTAGAAGAGACCGAACCAGTCTCTGTGGCAGGAGAAGGCAGGGCTCTCTGAGTGACACGTGTGCTCTCCTGTGCCGTCCCTGCAGATGAACACGTCACTGCTGGGGAGCATCGGCATGTTGAACTCGGCCCCTCAGCTGCGCTGCATTAAGACCTACCAGGTGCCCCCTGTGCAGCCGGCCTCCCCCGGCTCCCACAATGCCCTCCGACTGGCCCGGCTCATCTGGACTTCCAACCGCAACGTCATCCTCATGGCCCACGACGGAAAGGAGCACCGCTTCATGGTCTAATGCTACTGTCTGCTGTCCCAAATGCGTTTTAGTTGTCTCAGTTCTCTCAGCCAGTGTTGCTCTGTCCTTACACGGGGCCATTCCTTGGTGCCGGCCCACCCCAGTGTCATCCGGAGGCACGGCCGGGTCTGTGTCACGTGTGCATGCTTCTCGCTCATGCCACCTGTCGATTCTGAGGCACGCACACCGCTCTCCAGGATATGGCCATTCTGTCACTGGGTAGCTTTTCCCTGCCAGCGATGGGAAGGAAAAGCCAGTGGTACCTGGGAACGCTCATGTTGCTTGGTGCAACAGAGGCCAGAAAAATCAATAAACACTGTGATTGCACTCCCAGCCCAGGCCAGCACTGCCAGCCATCTGAACCCCTTTCCCAGGGGCCGCTAGAGGCTGACGCTGGGCATTGAGGTAACGTGACAGTCCTCAGTATTGGAATGATCTCCCCAAACACACTATTGTTTACCAAGAAGATTCTGTGTTTACATGTTTTTTTTTTTCTTCTGGTGATTGCTAGGAAATCTCTCAATCCAGTTTCCTAGAGTTTAACAACCACCTTCTTTATTAGCACCCAACTGATTTGAGATTAATGAGAAAATATTTTAAAAAGTTCCTTGTAGAAAATAGTTTTCCAGATGCCTAGCCTTCTGAAGTGCTTATTATATCCTGCTTAAATGATAGTGTATTTCGTAGTTTAAAGTAAAAGTCATCACTCCTTAAGGTCTAGTGAATATAATTATCCAGTCATTGTAACTAATCTCTTAAAGAGACCTTTGTGATGAAGAGCTGAGTTTGGAAGCATAGCATATACCTAAAATGAAGACTACATATCTTTTTGTTTCAGAAAGACCTCTCCCTTACAGAAACTTCACAACCACAGTCCCTATATATAAGACATATGTCAGTTATCATGTAATAGAATTCAGCCTTCAAATTACTACGGATCAGTTAAAGAAAAACTAAGGAGGCATTTATTTTAAAAGAGTAGCCTAGAAAATTAATAGCTATAGCACAAATGTTCAAGAATGTATATAAAACTGAGAGGGCCCTCAACCAACTTGCTTAAGCAAAGATGGCAATGAGGGTGTTCCTCATGCTTCTTAGTAAGCTCTCGTAGATCACATTCTTCTCCTTATGTCACTTTATGTTGGTTCTTGCTCATGATACTCAAAGAAATTGTAAAATGCTTTGTATGAACTGCTCCTAATAAACCTTGATCTCTGTGTAGTTGGGGGATTGGGCTATCTGGTTGGTTGTTGCTTCGTTGATTGGTTACTTGGGCAAAATGATTTATTAAATGCAAAAAGTGAAAAAAGTGGTTTATTATGTTTCAGAGAAAATATGTGATGTTTACAGAGGAACCAAAGCTATAACTGTGAGCATTTGATCTAAAAAGCATAGATTGTCTGAATTTATGTGGTGTACACAAAAGCACTATCGAGATTCAGGAACAAATACAGCTGTAATTTTACTGAGACAGATTTTTAAAGAACATATTAAGAAATTAAGAACTCCAGAAACGCCTCTTTCATATCACTATGAAGTACGTTATTTCTACTGATGGCAAACCTGTACTATTTCTCGGTTTTAGATGTCGGGTGTTCTTTCAGAAGTGAACTTATGCCACCTGCATGTACAGTGTATTTATAAAGATTATATATGTAGTTTCCAAGGCAGAAACAAAGAATTATACAGTGTAGACATTGTTTGGCGAATATGTGGTTGTGTTCAGTATAGACAGAGAGCCATGAAGTAAATGGAAAGGTACGCTGTCTTTTTCCAGTGAGCTCCCAGGTCTTCTCTGTACTCAGCACATGTTTACTTCATGAACTTAAATGAAAATTAATTTATTCTAGACTATAAAACTATCTGGAATGGTGAAATGAGTATATTTCTTAAAGCTTTTTTCTGTTTTTTTTTATTATTATTATTTTATTCTTAAAATTTCTATGTGTCAAGAAAAAGGTGTGGGACCAGTAGGCAGGCCACCACAAATGCAGGCATGGCATACCCCATGGAGACTGGACTACGCTGGGGGAGGGGGTGTGGAGGAACAAACCCTTCCTGGGCCAAGCAGCCTTTCACACATGGTCTGTGCAGACAGCCAAGGTGATGGGCCGGTAGAGCAGTACGATTGTAAAACTCTATGGGGGTTGGTATTTGAAGTTAGACAGACATCTCTAACTACTAAACTTATATTTGCATTCTTGTTAACATAAATCTCTCCTTGGCTGTTTTGAAAACCACAGTCCCAAACTTCATCCTAGCTTAGATTTCTCACGCCGAGATATACTTTCTATTGTCATCCCAGTGTATGCTTTTAGTGTTTTATTGATTTCGTTGGCACTGTATTTGCACCTGTCCTTGTAAATGTAGACACATATGTGGCTTCATTGGTAATTTACAAGCAAAAGATGACATGACATGACACCTGTATGGAAATGTAATGATTGAACTCACTGTGTAGAGCAAGTGAATTAAAATGTCTACCCCTTAAGACATTTTTTGATGACTCCACTTACTAAATTCTGTATGTGCTGAGCGTACCTGTGTACATATGTGTGTTAAATAAAACTGAATTGTACTGAAGGTTACTTTTCTCATATTATTACTTTTTCCATTGTTCACTTCTTAAAATTCTCAGTTGAAATCTCTATTCTCTCTTCACTCTTCTATGTCTCATTATTCATTTCCCCGGAGAGCTAGCTTCAGGAAAGGCCAACTTGTTCACAAGGGATTATAGAGTGGGATAGAAGGAAGTCCCTTGCTGCACTGTGACAGAGGCCACAGATAAACTCTCCTACCAGAAACTCGACACTACCCTCTGTAGTTTGGGCAAAGGAATTGCATGCATTTTGCCTCGCCTCTGTTGCTACCCTAAGTTGCTCTTAAATAGACAGTTAATTGTACCAAATTATATCTTGTTAGATTTGATGACACAGGTTGACTGCCTCATGGGAGCTAGGGTGAGATCATTAAATTCATTTCATTTAATTCTCAGTTTGGAGTTGAATCTGAGTCCCTGAGGTAAAGGGCGTAATTGGTTTTCAGAAAAAGCAAAGAATACAATAGATCCTCTTTGCTCACAGAGGGTTATGTCTAAGTATCAAATACACTTCTTTTAAATTTTTAAGATAAGAGTATAAGAACTCAAATTGAGTCAATCATCATGTAACAGTATAATTTCTGTTGCATTAATTAGATAAACAGTACAGGAGTTGACTGCATCTTTGGGCCTGTCAAATGCCCAGCCTCGGCCCTAAGAATTATTTTAACATCTCCTGATGACGTAAATGTATCCTTATAGGGAAAATAGGGGCAGTAACAGTCCTATATGATTGGTGATCACATAAACTGATCAAATGTGGAAAGGGCATGACATTAATAGGAAGGGAAAGCCAAGCAGTGTTGGATGAACTTTCACCTTTCACCCCTTTGGCTGACTGACAGAGCTGAGTGTTGAAGAAAATCAATACTTTGGAGCCAGGAGGGAAATATTTCCACTCTCTAACTAGAGAATGTATTTTGACAAGGCCAAGATAATCCAAGCTGCACAGGAGAAAGAGAAAAGAAGACTCATTTTTAAAGCTTGACACTTCAAGGTGTTTTTGTGCAATGGTTTCGAGATCGTCAATACATACAAATACCAAAGGTCAAACAGAAAAGCCAGAGGAATTTCAAAAATTAGATTTTCAGTTCTTTTTTGCTGTTTACAAACTTAAAAAAAAAATGACTACAGAGAGGTTTGGGTTTATAATTGTCATTCAAATGAACCAAGCTCACAATTGTGTTCCAATATTATCATTCCTCTTTCATCAAATCTTAAATTTTATACAGGCAGCACTATGAATATTGAATGCCCCAGAGGTGTTCAGACTTCCTGCTTCTGTGCATTGTTCTCAACATGAATTATTTTTGGTAGTTACATCATGTTGTGCTAACATCTCAGAATTTGGTTTCCTAATTCATCTTCCGCCTGCCAAGGTTGTATTGTAAGTCTTAGACCCTCCTTCACACCTATTTACATGAGAAAAGAGTTCGCATACTTTTAGAATTCTAAGTATTCTTATTATAGTTCCCCAAGTCCCTTTAAGCAAATCACTTATAAAAGTATTCTAATTAGCACTCTTCTAAGTGAGAGGCTTATGCACCTCTGGGAAGAAGTTAAGCATTTCACTCCAGCAAGATTAGACCCCGTTCATTCTGTGGACAAATACTTCCATCAGACAGATGTAGATTCTTTCTTTTCTACAGATAATGAGCATGAAGAAGCCACATGATCCCCAAGACCTTCCAGACAAGCTTCCCAGGACAAAGGAGTCTTAAGTCTCTAAAGCAACCTTATGGGTGGATATGCATCATCAGGCCTGCTGTGAACATGTTCTAATTACATGATTATTAAAATCACAGTGAAATATAGCCAAAATTTCCACTTTCTCATGAATAAACTCCACTCTATTCTGAGGACATCTATCAGGCTGGAGGGTTTTATTTTGTTTCAAAGGCTAAGCCGAGACACCACAATGTCCTAAGAGTTTCTAGAGAAGGCCAGGAATATTCACATGCCAAGTGCATACATACTGTAGTGGTTAAATCCATGGGACTGCACCTGTAAACTGCTCGGAAGAAAAGTACATAGTGGTACATGTTCGTCCCAGGAGCACCTACTAGTACACCTCTTTCCAGGAAATCTAGAGTATTTTTAGCGGAGTATTTTAGTCCTTGTGGAGCACAAGTAATCTGTGATTACCCATGTTCTTTGGCAAGCGTTGTTGGACATGTGTTTTCTCTGAGGCTTTCATCTCTATGTGGACTTGGAATTGGATCTGCATATCACGTCCAAGGAGAACCTCAGTGGTTCCACTCATGTACCCTCTTTGCCTTGTTGCTGTGTGTTGCCATCTTGTGCCTAACCAGAATTCGTAGACATGAAGAAGTGCCAAAATAGATGCCAATGGACAGGACTGGTCATTATTGCTGAAGTTGTGACTGATTCCTCCAAAAGAAAGATCACCACATTAAACTTAGGACTCATATTAGCATCAAGAATGACTGAATTACTTCCCATTAAGTAAATGCACATCTATCGAGATTGAGAAAAACTCTAGACATAGGATTATGAAGTAGGCTTCATGGATTTACCAAAGGTAAGGGAACAAGGTGTAGGTTTTGTTGCCAACTTCTTGTTTTGACTCATGTCAAAATGACAGTGCTTTAGCTTACCTAAAAGTGAAATATTAATATATTTTCTAAAACTTGACCCATCCAATGGCACTTCAAGTTTATAGAAATGTATAAATAACTTAAAGATATGGCAGCAAAATGTTTTTTATTCAGTCAGCAAGCATCTATTGAAAGTTAGCATATGCCTGGCATAATTTCTTTATTCTATCTCCTGCTTCGTAATGAGCTCATTGACAAGGAGCCATAGCACTGTGGAATGTGGTAAAACAAAGATGGGTGAAGAGCAATGAGAACAGAGGAAGTAATTGTTTCTGATAGGTGTATCAGATTAGGCTTCACAGAGAAGCTTAACCTTGAATAATAAATAGAAATTAATTAGGAAGATGGAGGGGATGTTGAAAGGTAAGAAGTCCAAATTTTCACATGATCTGAATGGGCATAAACTACTCTAAATCTACAACCTGTTGGCACTGGTAGGTACTACCAACAATCCAGATGGCTACTCACTTGCCACTGCAGAAAACCAGACTCCTGTACCAAAGGACACTTGAGAGCTATAAGGCAAAAAGCCCTAATAAAGGATTTCTCTGACATATAATATTTTTCCATGTTTCATATTTTTAAGTCTCTCTATTTTTTTGATTTACTATACGGCACATGCACTCACTGGAGAGAGACAGAGAGCACCACCAGGAGAGATGGCCATACTACAGTCCCTTCTCCATTCACCCCATTGTGTTTTACATGCTGCCAAGTCCAAGGACTTATGCTGTGCAGTCAGTCATGTGCGATCCAGCCTTCTTAACCACCACACCACTGGCTGGCCCCTATGTTCATTTTTTGCTGCCTTTTTTTTTTTTTTGTAGAGGTTTTTGCTATAGGGCATGTGCACTTGCCAGAAAGACAGAAACAGACAGAGACAGAAAGCAAGAAATCCCCCCCCCAGGGGGGATGGCCACACCCCAATCCCTTCTCCTTCATTCTCCTCTCAGGATCTTGGGCACGCACGCACATGCACCCGGCCTGAGTTTAAGCCACCAGGTCTGGGGCTCGAACTGCAGTCAACTACATGGGAGTTAAGCGACATAGCCATTACATTAACTGCTGGTTCCCATTTTTTGCCTTCTTCAGGCATGTGTTCATCCCAGGAGCACCTACCAGTCCACCTTTTTCCAGAAAATCTGTTTCAGAGTCTCCTTCATTGGTTACAAACCTGTCTAGGCTCTAATCTGGCTCTGCCATTTATTAACCAAACAACTATGTGCCCCAGCTTCCTCATCTGCAAAATGGAAGTGATCATATATACTATGGTCATAGTAAATGAAAGCTAATACATGTAGAGCACTTAGACATAGTAAATATTCAATAAATGTTGATTGTGCTATTTCTGTCCTCTTAAGGTATGATTACAAGAATTTTGGGGACCAGCAGTTGGCATAATGACTATGTCGTTGGACCCCCATATAGTTGGCTCCCATATAGTTCAAGTCCCAGACGTGGTGGCTTAAACTCACACCGGGCACACTTGTGTGCATGCCCAAGATCCTGAGAGGAGAATGGAGAAGAAGGGATTGCATCGTGGCCATCGCCCCTGGGGAGTGATTTCTTGCTTTCTGTCTCTTTGTCTCTCTCTGTCTTTCTGGCGAGCACATGTGCCCTATAGCAAAAACCTCTCCAGGAAAAAATAAAAAAATTCAGGTCTTCTACTTCATTTCCTCCTTCTGTGGTACAGAAAAATAAGCCTGCCCATTATTGGAAAGGCCTTTTATTTTATTTATTGTGTTTTATTGTTTTCTTTCAACCAAATCAAAGTGTTCCCTTTTAAAAAAGAGGAGAAAAGCTGAAAGAGAACTGGTATGCCTAAGTGCTGATTGTGCCAGACACCATACTAGGTGCATTCATTATTCTGCTTAATTCTTAATCCTAAAAGCCATGAATTATTATCTCCCTTTTACAGATGAAAAAATTGCAGGTCACATAGATAAACGACCAAGATCACACAGCTAATAAAAGGACGATCTGCTCTTTGAATCCCAGCTCTGCTGCCAGCTCCCAGCTTTCTCTGTTCTTCCCATGTGCTCCTTGGACAGGAGATGAGAAGCGAGCAATCAAGAGCCCAGCCAGCCTTCCTCTTCCCAAACCGAAGGAAATGTGGTAGCACAGGAAAGGGCTTTGGTCCATTTAAGCCATGATTTTTCCTTTTGGACTTAAGGCCATTGTGCCAAATTGCAAAAGGCCAGAAATCATGTTGATTCTCAGTTGTGAATAGTAGGACTATATTGCCATGAAATTGTTGAGTTAAATGTGAGCTTGGAAGTGTGCTACATTCAACGGAGCGATTTTCTTATCAATCAGAAACCAGTGTTTCCTCTTATGAAGTGCATATCTTTGGGAAGTAGAATGTG